CACGGGGGAGCTTTCTCACCTCCAAGCCATTAAACAGGAGGAAATGAAGTGCTTTGTAAAAATTTCGGCTTTTCTGTAAACCAGGCACACTTCACCATTGCCAGAGCTACTAGGTTCTTTCACAAAGATTCCTTTGTGAAGTCAGTTGTTGAAAGAAACAAGGAGTAGGAGCTCCTTGGAGCGAGAAGCAGTAAACAGGCAATGCTGTATTCTTAATAGAGTTGGAAGGGATCTTGTAGGTCATCTAGTCTACACCACCACCACCACCCCGCTCAAGCAGGAGACACTATACTATTTCGGACAAGTGGCTGTCCAGTCTTTTCTTGAAAGTTTCCAGTGATGAAGCACCCACAACTTCTGAAGGCAACTTCTGTTCCATTGGTTGATTGTTCTCACTGTCAGAAAATTTCTCCTCATTTCTAGGTTGAATCTCTCCTTGATCAGTTTTCGTCCATTGTTCCTTGTCTGGCCTTCAGGTGCTTTGGACAATAGGTTGACCCCCCTCCTCTCTGTGACAGACCATCAAATATTGGAATATTGGACAGCCCCTCAAATGTCATGTCAACCCTGATCCTTAATAATAATAATAATAGTAAAGTTGGAAGGGACCTTGGAGGTCATCTAGTCCAACCCCCTGCTCAGGCAGGAAACCCTACACCATTTTGGACAAATGGCTGTCCAGTCTCTTCTTAAAAACTTCCAGTGTTGGAGCATTTACTGTTTCTGGAGGCAGGCTGTTCCACTGATTAATTGTTCTCACTGTCAGGAAGTTTCTCCTTAGTTCTAGGTTGCTTCTCTCCTTGGTTAGTTTCTATCTGTTGCTTCTTGTCCTGCCTTCAGGTGCTTTGGAAAATAGCTTAATTCCCTCTTCTTTATGGCAGCCCCTGAGATATTGGAACACTGCTATCATGTCCCCCCTTGTCCTTCTCTTCGTTAAACTAGACAGACCCAATTCCAGCAACCGTTCCTTATATGTTTTAGCCTCCAGTCCCCTAATCATCTTTATTGCTCTTCTCTGTACTCTTTCTAGAGTCTCAACATCTTTTTTACATCGTGGTGACCAAAACTGGATGCAGTATTCCAAGTGTGGCCTTACCAAGGCTTTGAAGAGTGGTATTAATACTTCACGTGATCTTGATTCTATCCCTCTGTTAATGCAGCCTAGCACTGTGTTGGCCTTTTTGGCAGCGGCAGCACACTGCTGGCTCATATTTAGGTGATTGTCCACTAGGACTCCGAGGTCCCTCTCACAGTTACTACTATTGAGCATGGTGCCACCTATGCTGTACTTGTGCATTTGGTTTTTCTTGCTTAAATGTAGAACCTTGCTTTTTTCACCATTGAATTTCATTTTGTTAGTTAGTGCCCAGTGTTCAATCCTTCTCTTCACTAAATTAGCCATGCCCAATTCTTGCAACCGTTCTTCATATGTTTTAGCCTCCAGTCTCCTAATCATCTTTGTTGCTCTTCTCTGCACTCTTTCTAGAGTGTCAACATCTTTTTTATAGTGTGGTGACCAAAACTGGATGCTGTATTGTAGGAATGCTCACGCACTCAGTTATGTTAGTATAATAATTTGCTTCTAAATTTATAATTATGCTCTAAAATAGCTTTCCCCAGCTTGGAAAACTTCAGGAGGCCAAATTGGTTGGGGCTTATAGCTAAATAATCCAGAGGTAAGCAGATTTAGAATTTGGATAGTGTGGTGTAGGCACATTCACAAAATGGCTGACATGGGAAACTAGCCCAAACGGGCAACACCAGTCACAAAACACCTATAAGTAGTCCTTTATTTGCAATCACAATTGGAACTAAAATTTCTGTTGCTAAGCAAAGCAGTTGTTAATGTTGTTGTGCCTGATTTTATGACCTTTTTCGCCATGATTGTTAACCGAATCACTGCAATTGTTAATGACTCGTGGAGTTGATAAGCAAATCTGGTTCCCCTCCCCCCCATCATTAACTTTAGTTATCAGAAGCTACCTCGGAAGTTTGCAAATGGTGGTCACATGACCCTGGGACCTTTGAATATGAATTATTAATTTAATTTGCATTCTTCCTTGATCAATTTGGGAATAACTGAATAGTGACTTTCCGACAGAATATAGGGTGCAATGATGAGATTGCAACAGAATGGCAGGTGCATTCAAAGAAATACACAGTATTTATCAGTGATACTGTAATCAGTCTAGGAAAGGCACTCAATACGCAGGACTTTTTTCAAAAGGAAAGAGACTGAATATAGACAGGGATTTGGGTACAAGTCAGTCACAGGGTAGTGGAGCCATCTAGTGGCCACTTTGACAATTAGCTCAACGTCAAGGGGATTTGGTAGTTAATGAAGGAAATGCAGTAAAAATTCTTTCTGTCCCAGTGAAGCACACCTACTTCATGATATTTTCAATAGCAAGTATACATTTTAATCTCCCAGGTCTTTTGCTGCTTATTCAGTTTAACATGAACAATTGTGCTGTTATTTTTAAATTAAATTGCAATAGTCTGTTTTCTGATTTTTTTTATTTGTACTACATGATTGTTTATTTGTAGACTGTATTTTTAAGTTGAGGTTCTACAGTACTTTATTTCGTTTTTTAAAGCATGTTTAAAATGCTTTGTAAACCGCTGCAGGAAAGTCTGTTTTGATGGTATACATTTTTTAAAAAATAAAATATTACCGCCACTATTGCCATAACTTGGAGTAGAATTAAAACCAGAGACATGTGGGCTTCCAGTTTTGTGCAGTAGTGCAGCAGCTGAAGGATCGTGGGGCTCCACACCCTACGTCCAATTTTTTTCTGTTTGGTGACCCTAAATGGGCCTAAACTGATCTCAGGGAGGCGACAAAGAAGGAGGGGTGCCCCGCTGACTGTGGAGAGATGGCGGTCGATCCGGTCGTCCAGAGAAAAACCCCCAGAAACAGAAGAAAGTCTAGTTTCACTCCAGAGTCTAGCCCAAGCTACAAGCAGCCAAAGCCCAAAAGCACTAATTTAAGCTTGATCATAAACAACGTGGAATTGGGTAAAAATATTGATTCTCTCTCTTCTACTTGATAATTGATTTCCTGGGAAAAAAAAAAGCCCAAGAAGCAAAAATCCTCCAAAAATGAGAAGGGGGACTTTTGCTCCACCCTCCCACAGATGGAAGCGGCGAATTAAACTTTTATGGGGGACAGAAATACATTGAAATGAAATGAATATAAGACTTAAATCTGGATAAGTTTGAAATTGGTGGAGTGGTAAGATTTTCTTTTTCAAAAAATTATTGATGAAAACAGAAGAAAGTAATTGTTTGTTTTGAAAACTGAAAATGAACTGGTGCTGACATCTAGTGGTGAATGAAAATATACAATTGTAATTGCTCTGATACAGGAATTGGCAGAAAGCCCAGAAAAAGATAACCTGTTTTTGTGACCTTCAGTGTTTTAACTAAACATAGAACAGCTTCAACAAAGAAAAGAAAACATGTTGGGCTATCTACAAAGCGAGAACCATAAACCTGAGGGGAAAAAAACTGATCTTCCTGGATTATAAATACTTATTGAATTGTGGCTCTAAAGCTGTTTGCAGAGAAAGGAAAACTTTGATTTTTGGCTATCATGGAACATCAGATATCTGTAGAAAGAACATATAAAGAAAAAACAAATACTTTCCAGGGGGAAATGTATGCTATGTTGCAACTAATACAAATGACAATGACTTCAAACCACAAGGAAATTTAAAACAACTTTCTTTATATTTATATTTTATATTTATATTTTTGAAAATATAAATGAACACATCTTCAATTTAACCTCACAAAAAAACTCTCAGAAAATAAAAAAGAGAGCGATCAAATAAAGCAGACAACTGAACATAAACCAGAGGAAAGAGATTTAAAAATGGAACCCAACAATGGAAGGAATTATGACTTAGCCCAGGCAGAAAAAACTTGTTGGAAATATCATACATGGAAAAGATAACCTACACTTTAAGATTGCAAAATAAGTCTGAGGACAAGAAAAAAGATTTGACAAAAAGGATTATAGAGCTGTCAGGAGAACTACGAGAACTTGAGAGACAAAAAATGATAAGAGAAATTAAGAGAAAGAGAAAGAAAAAGATTTTCAGTGAATACGAAGGGGCAAAACATTCCTATAAAAACATTACCTATAAGTCAGTCATACGCACACAGAGAAAGTTATTTTATTTTATTTTGCTTCATGACCAGAAGGCAGCCCTTCCCTATGGTCACCCCAATGTTTTGGAACCCCCTCATGCCACCTTCCCCGAAGTACATCCAGCCCCTTTGTTACTGAACTTTTTGCAAGAACAATAATACTTAGGCAAACTTTTTTAGTTCAGTGGCAATTGGGCTGTCCCTATTTCTTCTTTTATATTTTTTATGTCTGCATTTGTATGTGTGTGGAAAGGTGTCTTACTTGGTATTAGGGGCTTGATGAAGTGTTATTATATTTCAGCTGCTTTTGTTTCTACCCAAGTCTGGAAGAAAGAAAGAGAGAGAGAGAGAGAGAGAGAGAGAGGGAGGGAGGGAGGGAGGGAGGGAGGGAGGGAGGGAGGGAGAGAGAGAGAAGGAAGGAAGGAAGGAAGGAAGGAAGGAAGGAAGGCTTTCTTAAACTAAAATTTACTTTCCAAAGCTTTTCATTAGAGAAACAAAGAAGCGAGGCAATTAAAATTGCCACGCTGAAATAGAAATTCCATCAAACAGAAGGATGTATTCAGCCTCTCTTTTTTTTTTTTCTAACTTTGGATAAGTCTACCTAATATGACAGACTTAACTGAAACAACCTAGAGGAATGAAGCCACGCGTGATATAGCACAATATGGCACAGTATTTATATTTAATATGCACATAACAAGATCATTTTTCCCCACACAACCACAAGACCAAACAAAAGAGACCAATTATGTTTGAACTCAGTATATGGTGCAAAATCTATTCCCCCCCTTTTTTTCCTAACCATACAATAGTAAAAAAAGGAAGCCTTGTTCTCAATTACTTACCAAAGCAAAGCGGATGCACCCCATAATTTTACATCCAGGAGCTAACAAAAAGACTGGTGATCTGGGGAAAAATTGTCCTAGTGCTATGTTTCTTCACATTCTTTCACTTGTATTTTCAGTTCTGCAGAATTTAAGAAAACAAATGAATGTAGGAATTGCAATGGAAATGGCCTAAGATTTGTAATGGCTAGAATCTTGCATGAGGCAGCAGTATTATTATTTTTTTTTAATCTTGCTTTTCAACGAAAATGGTTACATCATTATTATTACAGGTATTCTTGACTTATAAACCATTCATTGAAGGTTTTTAAGAAGAGATTGGACAGCCCTAGCCAGAATGGTTTAGGGCAGTGGTTTTCAACCTGTGGGTCGGGACCCCATTTGGGGTCGAACGACCATTTCACGGGGGTCGCCAAACAATGCAGTCCGCCATTTTTTTTCCCCTTTTCCTTAGCTGTGCTACTCCCTTTTATTCTATTGGCTTTTGAAAGCCAATAAATAGACTCTCTTGAATAGAGTCTAATTCTATTGGCTTTCAAAAGCCAATGGGAATTGTCCAGGCTGTCTCTGCCCTGCTGAGCCCGCCAAAAGTCCCATTCTGCAAACGGTGCTGCACCAGTTGAGTAGTCCTCGACTTACGACCGATTGGGGGTTGCGGCATTAAAAAGGTTGAGAACCACTGGTTTAGGGTCTCTTGCTCAAACGGGGTTGAACTAGAAAACCTCCAAAGCCCTTTCCAACTCTATTATTCTGTATTATTTAGTGACCATTCAAACATACAATGGTATGGAAACAAGTGACTTACAACCAGTCCTCAAAGTTACAACCACTGTAGCATCCCCACATTTACCCAATCAAAATTCAGGCCTTTGGCAATTGGTATGTATCTACGACAGTTGCAGCATTCCAGGGTCATTTCCAACTGGCTTCTGACAAGCAAAGTCAGTGGGGAACCTGGATTTGCTTAACGACAGCATTACTCGTTTAACAACTACAGTGATTCACTTAACAGCTGTGGCAAAAGAAGTTGTAAAATCGGGCACAACTCATTTGACAAAGGAAATTCTGGTGCTTATGTGGTCATAAGTTCAGGACTACCTGTTTATTATTATTAAAATACGAGTCCTTCCTGCTGGGCTTGCAATTCTAAAAGATGTCTCCATTAAAAAGAAAGAAAAGAGTGGGGGACACAAACTCCAGCCTCACCCCTTAAATTTGCAGGAGTAGTTTAAATAGTAAAAGCCAGTTTGGTTTAGAAAGTGGAAGACAGTGGGTTCAAGTCCTGTCTTAGGCATGAAAGCCACTGGGTGACTTTGGGCCAGTCGCTCTTCAGTCCAACCCACCTCACAGGATCGTTGTTGTGAGGAAACAGGAGGAAGGTGTGTTGGATATGCCATAAAAAATAAAATAATAATAAAATGCTCAATAGTAGTAACTGTGAGAGGGACCTCGGACTCCTAGTGGGCAATCCCTTAAATAGGAGCCAGCCGTGTGCTGCAGCTGCCAAAAAGGCCAACGCAGTGCTGGGCTGCATTAACAGAGGGATAGAATCAAGATCACGTGAAGTGTTAATACCACTTTACAAGGCCTTGGTAAGGCCACACCTGGAATACTGCATCCAGTTTTGGTCACCACGATGTAAAAAAGATGCTGAGACTCTAGAAAGAGTACAGAGAAGAGCAACAAAGATGATTAGGGGACTGAAGGCTAAAGCATATAAGGAAAGGCTGCTGGAATTGGGTATGTCTAGTCCAGTGTTTCTCAACCTTGACAATTTTAATGCATGTGGACTTCAACTCCCAGAATTCCACAGCCAGCAATGCTGGCTGTAGAATTCTGGGAGTTGAAGTCTACATGCCTTAAAATTGTCAAGGTTGAGAAACACTGGTCTAGTCTAACGAAGAGAAGGATGAGGGGGGACAGGATAGCAGTGTTCCAATATCTCAGGGGCTGCCCCAAAGAAGAGGGAGTCAAGCGATTCTCCAAGGCACCTGAAGGCAGGACAAGAAGCAACGGGTGGAAACTGATCAAGGAGAGAAGCAACCCAGAACTAAGGAGAAAGTTCCTGAAAGTGAGAACAATTAACCAGTGGAACAACCTGCCTCCAGAAGCTGTGAATGCTCCAACACTGGAGGTTTTTAAGAAGAGACTGGATAGGTTTCCTGCCTGAGCAGGGGGTTAGACTAGATGACCCCCAAGGTCCCTTCCAACTTTATTATTATTATTATCAAAATAATAATACAATAAAAATAATATAAAATAATAAAATAAAATAATAAAATAAAATAATAAAACAATAAAATTAAAATAAAATAATAAAATAAAATAATAAAACAATAAAATAAAAATAAAATAATAAAATAAAATAATAAAACAATAAAATAAAAATAAAATAATAAAATAAAATAATAAAATAATAAAAAATAAATATAAATAAAAGAAAAACCTGAAAGAAAAACCACATGGATATTATATTCTCCTCCTTTTCCTCCTCCTCCTCCTCCAAGATTTTTCCCGCCTTTTTTCCATACACAACTCAAGGCAGCGAACATACCTCCTAATCCTTCCTTCTCTTTTTTCCCTCACAACAACTACCCTGCGAGGTGGGTTGGGGGCTAAGAAGAGACCAGCCCAAACTCCCCCAGCCAGTTTTTCATGCCTAAATACAGGACTAGAACTCTCTTTTTTTTTTTTTTTTTTTTTTGAGGGCAATGGAACCCTCTGGAAATGTTAACAGCCATCGATGCCTCCACCGCCATCACAAAATGGTTGCCTGAGGGGAAAAAAACCAGCTGAACCCAAACAACCATTTCACAGACCGGCATTATCAGTGAAGCTTAAAAAGTGGGTAATTTGCCTACGAGCCTTGAAGAAGAGGCAGCCGCCATGTCCCAAAACATGTTGCGGAATAACATTTCGCCTCCCTCAGGACCACCTCCCTGAATTTCCCTGGATGCTGCTTCACCCCCTTCCTCCTTTTTTGCACTGTCCTCCCAGAGTGCTGCTCTGTAACGTTATCTATCAGATTTTTATGCTGCCTTCTTTTTTTTTCATACATGATTCAGGGCAACGAATGTGCTTCCTACCCTTTCCTCCTCTTTTCCGCACAACAGCCTTGTGAGGCTGGTTGGGCTGAGACAGAACGAGTGGTCACCCAGTGGCCTTCCATGCCTAAGGGAGGATTAAAACTCAGAACTTCCTGGTTCTCCCCCCATCCTCCAAACTCTCATAAACCAGCCCTGCCAGCCCTCTGAGGTAGACTTGGCTGAGGATAAGACTCCACCATGGCTACTGCTGGAGTTGTTATAGTTGTTTCTGGAGGGGGCGATTAACAAGCTTTGAAAACCTGATAGAGATCCTCTCTCTCTCATTTTATACCTCATTCTCCCTTTTTATTGTTGCCAGCCACCTAGAGTAGCCCCACGTCGAGATAGGCAGCAAAATAAATTCAACAAATAAAAATGAATACATGATATTAAAGAGATTCAAGGCAGGGCAATCTTGACTCTTTTCCTCACCTGTCTATCCAGATGAAGGGGATTATTAGCATAATGGCTGTTGAATTTTTTTTTTCCCAAAGGCCACAATCTCTGTATTCCTTCTCAGTGCTGCCTCCAAACCTTCCTAGTAGGTGGCCATCATGGGAGTTGTAGTCCAATAGCAAAGCCATGTGGTAGGCTGGCCTGTTTGTGCAGGGTGGGCTAAAAGAGGCATTATTGCTCACCATGGATAATGCCAAGGGAAGCCAATCAGCCCTTGAATTTTATTTTTATTTTGCCTTTATTATTTTTATAAACGACTCAAGATGGGGAACATAACAATACTCCTTCCTCCTCCCATTTTCTCCACCAAAACAACCCTGTGAGGTTGGGCTGAGAGAATGATTGGCCCAATCACCAGCCACCTTTCACACCTAAGGCGAAACTAGAACTCACCTGTCTCTTGGTGATTGGTCCAAGGTCACCCAGCAGCATTCATGTCCAAGGAAGGACTAGAATTCACAGCCTCCTGGTTTCTAGGCCAGCACTTTCACACATTAAACTGGCTCTGAACGTGGTGTTCATAAGGGCGGAAAACAAATTCAGTACCTTGACTCAGTCATCACACTTAATTCATGGTTTGCTTTGCTTAATCCTGCTTTAAGCAAACGACTCTGGGTTGGGTTCATAATTGCATTACTAAATTAGGGGAAATCACATGTGCCATCAACTAGAGTTGCATAATCTGAACTTTTGGCCGCAGGTATGGCTTTGATTATCCTGTAAATATCCACCTTCTCTACTCTTGTTCAGATACATTCTCCCTTCAGACATCAGACAATCCTATTGGCTTTCCATAAAGCTAGTTATGTGCCTGGGTTCCTCAGTGTGTTAAAGCCCCGTTTCTGGGCTATATTAACATCTACAGCAGTGGTTCTCAACCTTTTTAATGTCGTGACCCCCAACCGTCGTAAGTCGAGGACTACTCAACTGGTGCAGCACCGTTTGTAGAATGGGACTTTTGGCAGGCTTAGCAGGGCGAGACAGCCTGGACAATTCCTATTGGCTTTTGAAAGCCAATAGAATTAGACTCTATTTAAGAAAGTCTATTCTATTGGCTTTCAAAAGCCAATAGAATAAAAGGGAGTAGCACAGCTAAGGAAAAGGGGGGAAAAAATGGCACTGTGTTGTTTGGCGACCCCCGTGAAATGGTCGTTCGACCCCAAATGGGGTCCCGACCCACAGGTTGAGAACCACTGATCTACAGCGATAGTTTCACTCAGTGACTATTTATCTATTTATTTTGTATTGTTTTAAGGGTTTTGTTTTTATGATGTACACCACCCAGTCATTTGTTCAGACAGCAGCTAGAGAAAGCAAATAAATACATCTGTAAAGGTTTGGCACAAAAACTGTATTTGCCAACACCTTTGTGTGGCTTGAAGTATTGTATTGAGGATGTAGTGTTATGTGTCAAGATGCTTCCGGACGCCCACCATTTCATTTCCAACCCTCACCATCTCTGACGTTAATGTATTTCATTTATTGAGGGTACAACCTAAAATCAAGGGGAAAGACATGGAGCACCTGCTACTTTGGATCATGCCTTTCCATTACTCAGGTTCCTATTAAAAGACTTTTACTCCAGTTCTCACAGGAATGTTTAGGCCTATCTTCTCTGACCAGCAAATATTCAGCAGCATCTTTTAACATACCCTAATCCAGTGTTTCTCAACCTTGACAATTTTAAGGCATGTGGACTTCAACTCCCAGAATTCCACAGCCAGCATTGCTGGCTGTGGAATGCTGGGAGTTGAAGTCCACATGCCTTAAAATTGTCAAGGTTGAGAAACACTGCGAAATCCCTTTTAGAACACCTGAACAATTACAGCAATGTAGGTTTGAAAGGCTGGACTTTATATCAGCAGGCCAGCTCTGTTCTTGTTAGGAATTAAAGGCAGCTGCAAATTATCTTCTTTATTAACATTGTCACTTGCAAATACAATACATTAAGAATTTTGTCCAAAAATGTTTTTTTGTTTTTGGGTAAAAAAAAAAATACAGTTTTTAAATTACATATTTCTGGTCTTCCAACTGCAATTTAGCAGCTTCCTTAACCCAGAAATACAATCTAAACCTTTTTTATATTTTTAAAGTATTATTTATAGTATATACAACCAACCACAGAATTGGAAAGTGTCCTTAGAAAAGTGACTTAAGCTTCCACCCTTATGACCAACCCTCGCAACATGGGGCTAGGTTGTATTTTTTTTCATAAAAGGGAAGAAATCCACCCCAGCACCACCTTTGACAGTGTGGAAGGTTCTTCTTCCAAGAAAAAGTAGTTAAAGCAGCCTGCACTGCTGCCATCTTTTGACAAAGTGTACCTGCTACTTTGCAAAATTACTCTCCAGTGCTGCAAGAGCACACACAAAAATGACAAGTACAGGTAGCAAGCATGACACACACAAGTCAGGCTGAAAGAGTGTCAAGGCCCTTCAATGCTTCATTAGCAGATAAAATTATCCCTCACAAAGATTTTCCAAATGAGAGGAATCCAGGCTGAATTATTGCCTTTGTTCGTATTCTGCTACATCTAATGTCCATCAAAATCATTCTTGGCTTGTTCCTTCAATGCTTCTGTGGCACAATTGATTCCTGGGAATCCCGTCGCTGCCAAGATCCAGCCCTGTCGCATGATGGAATGATTTACTAAAGTCTTTTTTTTTTTCCCTGAAGTCTATATCCAACAATAATCAAGTAGTAAAAATGAAGTACCCTGTGAAAAAAGAGATGATTAAAGCAGAGATCTAACTTGGTATCTAGCTTTTTCTCAAGCAGTGCTCCACTGTATTTCTTTGGGGGACAGTCTTTAAGCATCAGATTACCTCATGACATCTTTGGGATCTAGTTATGCTCTTGTCTATTTTTCTAGTGCCATTTATTTTTATTTTGTATTACAGGTAGCCCTTGACGTATGAATATAATTGGGAGCACAATTTTTATTGCTAAGCAAGTCGTTAAGTGAGTTGTGCCCAATTTTATGACCTTTTTTGTTAAGCAAATCATGCAGTCGTTAAGCAAATCCAGCTTTCCCCATTGACTTTGCTTGCAAGAAGCCCCCTGGGTGGGTCACAAATAGCGATCACATGACCTCAAACGATTCAACTGTCGTAAATACGTACTAGTTGTCAAGCGCTCAAATTTTGATCATGTGACCACGGCGATGCTGTGGTAAGTGGGAGGATGCTGTGGTAAGTTGTAAGTCACTTTTTTTTCCAGTGCCATTGTTACTTTGAACAGCTGCTAAATAAATAGTTGTAAAGTCAAGGGCTACCTGTATATATTCTAAACAGAAATGCTTCAATAAATTACCTATTGGGTATTTCCACCAGACAGGAAAGTGTGCATTGCCTACATCTTCAGCAGTATGTCATGAGGCTACCTTGTTCTGGGAAACTGAAGGCCGTAACATCAAGACAAAAACGACATGACATTATGGTTCTGTGTAATTTTTTTTTTTAAAAAAACAGCTTCATTTATTAGTTAGGCTCTTTGCAGAGAAAGGCCAGCCCAATTTTCTAAAGCACTGAGTGTCTCTGTTGCTCTCCTCATCTGTAGAGCTGATTCAATGGAGTTAAGTCAACGTCTGAAAAAGGAGAGCTCCCTACTAATTCCAACATACTGCCACCTGCTACTTTGGAAGGAACATACCTACGTTACCTAGCCGTTGCCGTTACCACACCTGGGAACTAACATTTTCCAGTAACAAACGCCGGCCCTCCTCGTAATCATCCTCGTCCACGTTGACTAGCAGACGAATAGCTTCCTGGCCCACAGCTTCTTTCAGAGAGTCTGTGATGAAGACGCCCTTCAACGCCTCGAGCAGCGAGCCGTTCATATAGTCGCTCCAAAAGGCATCCAGGTAGGACAGCTCTGAGAACTTGATGTCACAGATGATGGAGCCCAGGTCGCGGGATTTCAGGATAGTGTTCGACTGCCCAAACACATCAAACTGACGCTCCAAGTGGTTCTGCTTATTGGACGTCACATTCTGACGCAAGACAGGCTCATGCTCACAATATTCTGCCCGAACACGAAGCCGGATGTCTGAGAGGAACACACGAAAGAAAGAGAAGGAGGGGGAAGAAAGAAAAAAGAGGGCCATTAGAGCTGTCGGTCACAAACAGAGCAAGAAGACAAACACACAGTCATGCAGCGGTATTCTAGGGTCAGGCTTTCAATAGTCCTGAGCATAAAGACCAACCAAGCTGAAGCACAAGCCCATTCAGGGTTCCCCCAAAATTCAGGGATCTGAAGGAGTCAGGCTCAGCAAGGGGCATTTCCACTAATTTTTAGGTGTTCTTTTGGCACAAAGTTAGAGCTGAACTTCATTTATATTTTATCCATTAGCGACCTGTAATACCTCCCTATTCTCAAATTAAATAGGAATACGCATTCAGCCTCAATTCCTACCCAGAGGAGCAAAAGAACAAATCCCTTAGTGTAGCATATCCTCCACCATTTCCATCTATGCCTGCTATCGGCCATCAGCATGTGTCCTAATACGATGTACATAGTTTTCAGTCAATGGAAGTCATCACTTTAAGTTAATTTATATGTCTAAAACAACTTGAACTAATGGGATGTAAGGCAAGATCAACCTGATCTATTGGCTGATTTGAAGGGTCTGAACTCAAACAAGTAGTTGTTCTGCATAAAGCCTTGCTATTTATATTCTGAACATAGTGACATGCTGCTAGACAGGTTTACTACTGAGGTGCAGGTGCCTCAACAATTAGCAAAGTTCAGCTCTAACTATGGACTGTGGAAGCAAAAGAACAGGTCTGTTTTGTTCAGTCACCCCCAATATTGTCAGCATTGTAGCTGAACGTGTTAAAAAGGTTCAAAAGGGAGGGATAAATGGAACGAATACAGAGTAAGATACGTTTAAGAAAAACGAGGCAGGTGGTGCATTACATACGCTCAACAAGGCCGTCAGCTTTAATTTCTCTGTGTCTTGTGGTCATCACCTGTAGAAGCATTAACTCAGAGTGCAGTCACAGCCCTTTCCCAGTAATTTTGCACGACGGCCTGGAGCCCACACCCACCCACACCATCAAGCTACAAGAAGCTTTTCAACAACTGGGAGCCCTCAAGCAGCAGGACCTTCAGAATCCTTCTCTTCCCCAGATGGGCAACAGCAAAGCTGTGCAACAAACTGCATTCAACAGTGGCCCATAGCATTAATTGGTTTTTTAATCCAATGGCAGACAGCCAGCAAGCAGCAAAATTTAAACACATGTAAGACCTGCATGAGTTTCTATTGGAAACAGCTCCTTTCTACCCACATTTACGATCATTACGTATCAAAAAATTCTAGTCCATACACTCAACACCCACTTGGACTTTAGCTGCTGGGCCACTGGAAACCATTTTAGGGTTCCATATACAGGCTCCCACCCAATTGCTGACTAGATACATGTTAAGTTGAAATCTCCCTTTGCACTGTACAGCTTAAAATACAGACTTTTTGCATCCATGATTCGGCACATGATTTCATCTGAACAGTTCACCCAGTTTCTAATATCAACAACGTTCTGGAGTACTTCATGAGGCAGCTGTCAGAGTTGGCGTTAACATACTGGCAATCCTTGAATCACAGTTACAATGCACTTGAATGGTTTTAGCCTCTTTTTTTTCCCCAGGATACGATGAGAATTAGACCGTATGAAAGAATCCCAGCTTTTTATTTCCAAACGGGCAGGAAGCATATCAGATTGCAGGCCCTGGCTATGTGGGGGAAAGTCTTCTGTATAAATGACTCCTAGACTGTGGGAATTAGTTCAACCATTTTCCACAGCCAGCAGTAATGCAAGCTCTGAACAGCTGCACTGAATTAAACACTAAACTCACGGGCAAAACCACCAGCTGAGGCAGCACAAACACTACCACACCCCACCCACCCACCCACCCACCCCATCATTTCCAGGCCCCGGTCCCAGTGAAATAATCCCACTGTGGTTATTATG